AGTAAAAAAATGAATTAAAAGTTTCGCGATTATTATAATATAATCTATTTTCCAATAAAAAATTTTCTAAGAATAAGTTTTTTTTAAATGTTTAAATCGGTGTCTCTTTCTTTTTAACTATCTTTACTGAGATAAAACGATATAAGAATTATCTTTTGAAATTTAAGCATATCTTTCATTTGAATTTTATATTTGTTTGTTACAGTATCGTCGTAGCTACGTGGCAGAATAACTCCGCCCGTTGCGCGTCGGACCGGTGAGTCAGAAAAGTTTGTTATTTTTTATGAGGTAACGAATCTACGATTAATTATGTTAAATGTAGAGAAAATATCTTAGTACATGTCAAATAACGACAATTAAATTATTTTACAAATTACTAATTAAATATCGTAGATCTGTTGCCTTAAAATGGATGGACTAAATTTGATTAGGGCAAATATTTAATCTTGGTTTTGCCTATCTATATCTACCTATATATATTGTGCGACTGTGCTTGAGGAAATACTCGCACAGTTCGCACGCACAGAGCTCGCAAAGCAGAGCTCATCATGTCGAATTATGTCGATGCACAACGCGCGTGTTTTGTAGAATTTACTTTTTAGTAACTTAGTAGAATTTAATATTTAAAGTTCTAAATCGATCTGTGAAAAAATATTTTATTGGGATATAAAAATTTTGTTTTCCTTGATAAAATACTAAAGTAGATAACTTTGAAATTTATATTTGTAATATTAAAGGTGTAATTATGACTCTCGCGGGAGTTCCGACTCTCTCGGCATTCCGATTCTTTTACGAGTTTCGTTGCGCCTTTAGAGTCGGACTCTCTCTCCGGTTATCCGATCACTCATGACGTTTGGATTCGGGCATTGTGTCTGGGCTTATCCTGGACTATTTACAATAGACCAACACCCAGCTGGAGCAGGGGTAAGGCCAATGTTATGGCGACCTTACCCTGAGCTCATCTGCTAGGCGTAGGAGGCCCGGTTATCACACGCCACCGGTAGTGCCTCAATTGCGTCTATACTGCAAGCTGCCCCGAAGACGGCGAGTCCGAGAGTAAGCATGTATACTCGAATCTTGCCGTCTGAGGGATACATGCCCTTGCAATGAAGGTGGATCAGGTGTCCTGGCTTTACGAAGTCCAGTGCGCCGGGCTGGTCAATGTTGTTTGGAGCCATAACTCCTAGCGGCCGTCCTTGGCGGTTGCGTTGTATTGGTGCTCGACTGTCTGGGCAGTTGTGTTTGTAAAGATGCCGTAGTTGGGAAAAGTCATAGTTACTCTCTTTTTCGCGCATTCTAACTTTATCTCGGGTCGCGTTAAAAGTCGCGCCGCGTCGTGACTTCTTCGTGATTGCTTAGAATAATATTTTAATAAACAAAAAGAGTAGAAACAAGAAAAATGTGTTAGGTAGGTAATAAAAAAAAAGAATTGTCTGTAGATAGCAAAAAATTATGAACTAGGGTGTTTTTATTTATCCATTCATTCCTTTTCTTCATATTTAGCCAAGATTAAATATTATATAAATCGGCTCAAGAAAGCAATATATTTAGAACATTTTTAATGTAAGTGATTGTAAGCATAAAAATTAAAAACAAAAATATTTTTCACGCAATTTTGTTTTATATAGTAAATACGCTTTAATTATTAATTTATTTCAATATTTTTTATTTAAA